CACCCAGGCTCGAGTGCAGTGGACCACAAGTTTCGCCTTCCAGGTTCACGCCATTCTCCTGCCTCAGCCTCCCAAGTAGCTGGGACTACAGGCACCCACCACCACGCCCGGCTAATTTTTTGTATTTTTAGTAGAGATGGGGTTTCACAGTGTTTGCCAGGATGGTCTCGATCTCCTGACCTCATGATCCGCCTGCCTTGGCCTCCCAAAGTGCTGGGATTATAGGTGTGAGCCACTGTGCCTGGCCAATCTTTCACCCATTTCAAAGTCTTTAACAATTTTTCTTGACATTACTAATTCCTCTGCCTAGATTGTAAGTCACTAAAATTATCTTCATCAAATCAGTTCCTTTTTTTTTTTAGATGGTGTTTCACTCTGTCGCCCATGTTAGGCAGGAATCTAGACCCAACATGGCGGTATCACCCGGCATGGCAGGCCCTTTGTTAGGACTTCCCGCCCTTCACTTCCTGCTAAGACTCTCAGGGCGTGAAAAAAGCCCACGCCTGATAAAAAACCCCCGCTCTGCGCAAGCTCCTGGACACATCATTCCTCAGAAATCGAAACCTAACTCAGGAAAACTGAAACCTATAAACCCCGCCTACCTCGCCCTATAAAAGGCCCTCGATACCCACCCCGAGCGCGACTTCCTCGGTCCTCCTCCTAGGGGACCGGTGAACCTCGCCCATGAGCCCAATAAAGGCTACCTCTGTTCTCATCTGCCTCGTAAGACCTTGCTTGTCTCCCCATTACATTACATTAGTGCGGAAACCCGGGAGGAGACCCCTCCCTGGACCCCTGCCGGTTCGGGCAGGCTCTCCTCTCCCCGAGCCAGGACCTCCTGTCCCAGCCGGGAGCCCTTTCACCAAATCCAAGACTCAATTCGATCACTGCTGGGTAAGTTTTCCCCCGTCCTGCAGGCTCCGGGAGTCCCTGCCCGAAAACACGGCCGCGTCAGGGCTTCCCCCGTCCGTCACTTGTGACCTCGGCACTGGGGACTAGGAGTCATTCAACCTCCCCAGAAGCCACCATACCCCGCACTCCACGTGGCACTGGGAGGATGCTCCCGTTGCCTCCGGACTGCCCGCCTCAGGATCATGGGGGCTGCCCAGTCCGAACCAGACTGAAAATCCCCTCTGGGGTGCCTCTTGGCTAATTTTCAGACTTTAGGTCTCAGCCAAGACCTAAAACGAAAGCGGCTTATTTTCTTCTGCACAGTGGCATGGCCGCAGTATAAATTAGATAATCAGTCTCAGTGGCCTGCAGAGGGCACTCTAGACTTTAACATCCTCACAGACCTGACCAATTTCTGCAAGAGACTAGGCAAATGGTCCGAGGTAGCCTACGTTCAGGCCTTTTGGGACTTGCGCTCTCGCCCAGACCTCTGTGCCCAATGTTTGTTGGCCCAGGTCTTGCTCGCGAAATCCACTCTCTCAAGCAAGGAGAAGGATGATTCTTCCTCTTTCTCTGAGCCCCTTATACTCTTTCCCTGCCCCCACTTCGGTCCCGTGCTCAACCTCCCCCTTACCCTGACCCGTCGTCGTCTCCGTCCTCGTTGGTGCCACCCCTTCCCTCCACTCCTCCTGTGTCCCCACTAAACCTGACGGACCCTGTCTCTCCTATCTCCACCTCCTCCTCACCTGTCTCAGCCCATACCCGGTCCAGGACCGACCTCCTGTGCCCCTTGCGGGAAGTGGCAGGCACCAAAGGAATAGTCCGGGTCCATGTGCCATTTTCGCTGGCAGACCTGTCTAAGACTGAAGAGGGTGCAGGCTTTTTCTTGGCCAACCCCACTCTGTATATCAAAGAGTTCAGATACCTATGCCAGGCGTATGACTTCACCTGGCATGATCTCCATGTCGTTATGACCTCAACCCTGTCCCCTGAGGAATGGGAGCATATCCTAGCGGCAGCCAGGCAGCATGCTGACCAGGTTCATTTAACTGACCCCGCCATGCCAGTCAGCACCGAGGCGGTGCCCTTGGCTGAGCCCGGCTGGGACTACCAGGTTGGGCAGGCAGGCCACCGCCGCCGAGACATGATGGTCCAGTGCCTTCTTACCAGTATGCAAGTAGCCTCCAATAAGTCAGTCAACTTTGATAAATTAAAGGAGGTAGTCCAAGGCTCAGATGAGAATCTGGCCGTTTTTCTTAACCGACTGACTGAGGCACTCACTCAGTACACCCGCCTTGACCCTACCTCCCCCGCAGGAGGAACCGTCTTGGCTATGTACTTTATTTCTCAGTCAGCTCCGGATATCCGGAAAAAATTTTAAAAGGTGGAGGACGGCCCTCAAACTTCCATCCAGGATTTAGTCAAACTGGCCTTCAAGGTCTACAACTCCAGGGAGGAAGCAGCTGAGGCCCAGCGACAGGCAGGCTAAAGCAGAAGGCACAACTCCAAACCCAGGCCTTGGTAGCTGCCCTGAGGCCAGCCGGCTCCAGGAGCTCTCAGAGAGGAGGTACTCCCCAAGCGCCACCTGGTGCCTGCTTCAAGTGTGGCAACGATGGCCACTGGGCCAAGCAGTGCCCCAACCCTAAGGAGCCAACTCGCCCCTGTCCAAGCTGTCGGCAGATGGGCCACTGGAAGTCAGACTGCCCCAACCTGAGGACGGTCACTATGCCTCCACGTGATGACCCTCCTCCAGGTGCTGGAGGTGTCTTCCAGCTCCTCAACACCGATGAAGATTGAAGAGGCCCAGACTCGGGAACCCCTCTTACTCTCGCCGAGCCCAGGGTTATGCTCCAGATAGCGGGTAAGTCCATATCCTTCCTTATGGACACGGGGGCTACCTACTCTGTTTTGCCTTCCTTCAGTGGCCCCAGCCATCCCTCCACTGTCACGGTCATGGGAATTGATAGCACTCCCTCCACCTACCGCCAGACTCCTCCTCTGTCTTGCCGCCTGGATGGCTCCCTTTTCTCGCACTCATTTCTCATCATTCCTTCGCGCCCAGTCCCTTTGTTAGGACGAGACCTCCTCTCCAAGCTAGGGGCCACAGTTCACTTCCGGCCCAACCCCTCCCCGCACCTCGCGCTCCTCTTTCCCCTCCTCTCACCTGATAAACCCCGCCAGGCTGACACCCCACTCCCGTTTCCGGTCCCCATTAACCCTAAGGTGTGGGACACCTCCACCCCGATCATTACCCAGCACCATACTCCAGTCCGCATCTGGCTGAAGGACCCCTCTAAGTTTCCCTCTAGACCCCAGTTCCCCATCTCCCTTGAGCACCGACAGGGACTAAAACCCATCATCACGCACCTGCTCCAGCAGCACATTCTAGTCCCTGCCAACTCACCAGGCAATACTCCTATCCTGCCTGTATGGAAAAGCTCCAGGGCCTACCACCTCGTGCAGGATCTACACCTCATCAATGAGGCAGTAGTCCCCACTTTTCCAGTTGTTCCTAACCCATATACACTTCTCTCACGCATTCCCCCTGATACCATCCATTTTACTGTCCTTGACCTAAAGGATGCCTTCTTCACCATTCCCCTACATCCCTACTGTCACTTTCTGTTTGCCTTTACATGGGAAGATCCAGACACTCATATTTCTTCCCAGCTGACTTGGACTGTTTTGCCTCAAGGGTTCCGAGATAGCCCCCATTTTTTTGGACAGGCACTGGCACAGGATGTTAGCCTCTGTTCCCTTACCCACAGCACACTATTGCAATATGTAGATGACTTATTACTATGCAGTCCCTCCTGGGAGAGCTCCCTTGCGGATACTGCTACACTTTTAAATTTTCTTGGCGACCAAGGTTATCGGGTTACCCCGGTCAAGGCTCAGCTTTGCACCCCTTCTGTCACCTACCTAGGCATACTCCTCACACCCACTACAAAAAGCCTCACGGTGGATAGAATAAGCCTCACTGAAACTCTCCAGCCTCCTCAGGATGCGGAAGAGATCTTGTCCTTCCTAGGACTGGTAGGGTATTTCAGGCATTGGATTCCCAACTTTGGGGTCCCAGCCAAGCCCCTCTACCAGGCTGCCAAGGAAGCACCCACTGGACTGCTGTCTGACCCCTCATTGGTTGCCAACTCTTTCAAGAAGCTTCGGGACTGTCTCCTTTCTGCTCCTGCTCTCTCTCTCCCCAACCCCTTTTGGCCTTTTCATCTATTCACCGAGGAGCGTCAAAAGGTAGCTACTGGCCTCCTAGCCCAGCCAGTTGGATCCACATACCAGGCTGTGGCCTATCTCTCCAAGCAGTTAGACCCCACAGTCCAGGGCTGGCAACCTTGTCTGCGAGCTCTGGCGGTTGCCACAGAACTTACCAAGGAGGCCCTCAAGCTCACCCTAGGACATTCAGTATAAAATAAAAAAGACTGATCCAAAGAGCTGAGTTTGTTGTACTCATTTCATTATGATAGACAGTACGATATTATGTAATGAACATGGGTTGATAAGTTATTGGTGCATTAAATGGCAATGTTTCATTAAGGAGGCCGTTCTGCTTTACATATCTGAAAATTACTTAGAAAATGTCTGCATTTCGCCAGGCGTGGTGGCTCACGTCTGTAATCCCAGCACTTTGCGAGGCTGAGGCGGGTGGATCACGAGGTCAGGAGATCAGACATTTACAACAGCAGGCATTTTCTCTTCCTTTTCTTCACAGGAAGTGGGCAGAGAACTGCTCAGATAGCTTCATCAAACACTGTTTTCAACCCTCGCTATGTGAGAGCCAAGCACTTCAGGTATTTTAAAGCACCAATCTCCTTATTCCTGGCTAAAAACTGCAGATAGGTGATGGGAGTCAGTTTCTTCTCCTTCAGTTTCTCAATTGTGTCTTTAACAACACTAAGATCAAGTTTACTTCCCACAATAATGATGAGAGTGTTGGAAAAATGGTGCTGCATTTCAGAATGCCACTCTGCACAGACATTTTCAAATGATGCAGGACACATGAGGGAGAAGCATATTAAAAATATGTCTGTTTACCGATAGAATGGGGGCATGATCTGTCATAATCTTCTTGTCCAGATGTATCCCATAAGCCCAGATTCACTGGCTTTCCATCTACCTTAACATTGGCAGCAGAATAATTGTCAAAGACAATAGTGATAATGCACTGGGAAATGCATTGGGTGTAACACTGATTAGTAGGCAAGTTTTACTTATAGCTCCATCTCCAACCACCACACACTTGATGGCTTGCACCTGGGTCACTCGCTGGGCCCTGGCAGTGGTGGTCAGGCATTAAGGCAAGAAGTGGTGGGATAGAAGCATGGTAGGCAGGTGTATGACTGCAGGTGGCAGGGGATGGGGTGCCAAGGTCATTGTCCATGCCACCTCACCCTTAGCCCAAAATGGGAATCTTTTGAAAATGCCTAAAATAATTAATTCATGTGCACAATTGGAAAAAGCTGGGTTTAAACAAAATGAGTGGGAGACGTACTGTCACTAGCACTTACAATTTAGGTGAGTGCAAAAGTAATTGCAGTTTTTGCATTGTTGGAATTTGCTGTTTGGTATTAGAATATATTCTTAAATAATGTGGTTTTGTTATACACCATTTTAGTGAATATTTTTCACTTTATTTCTTTTGTTAATGACATTACTCGATGTTTATTTTTTGTTTATTTTAGACTATGGAAATGATGTTAGACAAAAAGCAAATTCAAGCAATTTTGTTATTCGAGTTCAAAATGGGTTGTAAAGTGCGGAGACAACTCGCAATGTCAATAATCCATTTGGCCCAGGAACTGCTAATGAACATACAGTGCAGTGGTGGTTCAAGAAGTTTTGCAAAGGAGACAAGAGCCTTGAAGATAGGGAGCGTAGTGGCCAGTCATCAGAAGTTGACAATGACCAATTGATAGCAATAATCAAAGCTGACCCTCTTACAATTACACAAGATGTTGCTAAAGAACTCAATGTTGACCATTCTATGCTCATTTGGCATTTGAAGCAAATTGGAAAGGTGAAAAAGCTTGATAAGTGAGTACCTCATGAACTGAGCAAAAATTTCTAAAAATAATAATTTTTTGAAGTGCTGTCTTCTCTTATTTTACGCAACAACAACGAACCATTTCTTGATTGGATTTGTGCAATGAAAAGTGGATTTAAATTTTTGTTTTTGTTTTTTTTCTGAGATGGAGTCTCGCTCTGTCACCCAGACTGGAGTGCGGTGGTGGTTCAATCTCAGCTCACTGAACCCTCGGCCTCCTGGGTTCAAGTGATTCTCCTGCCTCAGCCTCCCAGGTAGCTGGGGTTATAGGCATGTGCCACCACGCCCGGCTAATTTTTGTATTTTTAGTAGAGATGGGGTTTTGCCATATTGGCCAGGCTGGTCTTGAACTCCTGCTCAGGTGATCCACCCACCTTGGCCTCTCAAAGTGCTACTACAGGCGTGAGCCACCACACCCGCCAAAAAGTGGATTTTATATGACAACTGGTTACAGTCAGTTCAGTGGTTGGACCGAGAAGAAGCTCCAAAGCACTTCTCAAAGTCAAACTTGCACCAAAAAAAGGTCATGGTCACTGTTTGATGGTCTGCTGCCAATCTGATCCATGACAGCTTTCTGAATCCCTGTGAAACCATTATATCTGAGAAGTATGCTCAGCAAATCAGTGAGATCCACTGAAAACTGCAAAGCCTGCAGCCGGCATTGGTCAACAAAAAGGGCCCAATTCTTCTCCATGACAACACCCAACGACATGTTGCACAACCAATGCTTCAAAAGTTGAACAAATTGGATTTTGCCTCATCCGCCATATTCACCTGACCTCCTGCCAACTGACTATCTCTTCTTCAAGCATCTCAACAACTTTTTGCAGGGAAAACGCTTCCATAACTAGCAGGATGCAGAAAATGCTTTCCAAGAGTTTGTTGAATCCTGAAGCACAGACTTTTATGCTATAGGAAGAAACAAACTTACTTCTCATTGGCAAAAATGTGTTGATTATAATGGTTCTTTTTTTTTTTTTTTTTTTTTTGATACAGAGTTTCGCTTTGTCACCCAGGCTGGAGTGCAGTGGAGCAATCTCAGCTCACTGCAACCTCGGCCTCCTGGGTTGAAGTGATTCTCCTGCCTCAGCCTCCTGAGTAGCTGGGACTACAGGTGCATACCCCAGTGCCTAGCTAATTTTTGTATTTTTAGTAGAGATGGGTGTTTCACCATGTTGGCCAGGCTAGTCTCGAACTCCTTACCTCATGATCTGCCCGCCTTGGCCTCCCAAAGTGCTGGGATTACAGGTGTGAGCCACTGCGCCTGGCCTGTAATGGTTCTTATTTTGATTAATACAGATATATTTGAGCCTAGTTATAATGATTTAAAATTCACCCTCCAAAACCGCAATTACGTTTGCACCAACCTATAAAAGAAATTTTGAAAAAAAGTTGCGTCTATTCAACAGGTAAATAAAAGGATACCAGAAACTATTTTTCTTTTCTTTCTCTTTGAGATAGGGTCTTACTCTGTTGTCCAGGCTGGAGTACAGTGTCATGATTACAGCTCACTGTCACCTTGCTCTCCCAGGCCCAAGTGATCTTCCCACCTCGGCCTCCAGAGTAGCTGGGACTATAGACACACGCCACCACTTCTGGCTAATTTTTGTATTTTTAGCAGAGACGGGGTTTTGTCATGTTGCCTGGGGAGGTCTTGAACTCCCAGGCTCAAGCGATCTACCCGCCACAGCCTCCCAAAGTGCTGGAATTACAGGTGCACTGGTGCACCTGGTCAGCCTGAAACTATTTCTAAATTAAAAAAGATGTAGCAACTTTCTCCCTGTCCCCTCCAACTGCTTCTCCCTATCCTTCTGGCTACTTCCCCACCCCCACTCCCTTATTTGAACTCATTCCTTTCTGCTTGTTCCTTTGGCTCTCATATATCTCTTGGGTAGAGACTTTTGGAATTTCACAATGCATACATTTCTTTCTCTCAAAAGAGGGAAAGGTATTCAAATGTAGAACAGATATGCAAACAGAACAGCTACAGAACAAGAATAAAACTCCTGAGATTGTTAAAATACAGATCCAACAAATTTTTTCTAAACTGGGACTGATAAATGCCACTTATGATTTCCTGCAACCTTTCCTGGAACTTTTGTGATCTTAGTCTTTCACTGACAATGGTAAAATATATTCAGCCACCCCCATTAAAATGGAACACTTAATTGAAAAATTGGAAATCTAAAAGAGAAAGAACTATATAAGTGTTTATAAAAGTTAGGCTCTTAGATCAAAGAGATCAAAATCTTGAGCTTGGAGCAATAATATAAGGAATCTCTGTTCAATACAAAAGTTTTACTTTTTCTGCTATGCAGAGACCAACAACAACAACAACAAAAAACAAAGAAAAACACAAAAAACAACAACCAAAAAAAGCTGAAAGGGGAGGGAGAGGGAGGGGGAGAGAGAGAGAGAGAGAGAGAGAGAGAGAGAGAGAGAGAGAAACTGCTCTAATCTTTCCCGTCCACATTTGTTAATCCAGCAAACCAGACTGGTAAACGAAAGATAGATGTGTTACTAATTCAAGGATAATTGGGGATTTTATTTTTCTTATTCAATTCAGCCAGTCCTAGCCAAAATGTAAATATTAAAAATGTAACCTGGGCGTTACAATGTAATGTTACATATTAAAAATGTAACCTCGGCTGGGCACAGTGGCTCACTTCTGTAATCCCAGCACTTTGGGAGGCCAAGGCGGGAGGATCATGAGGTCAGGAGATCAAGACCATCCTGGCTAACACGCTGAAACCCCATCTCTACTAAAAATACAAAAAATTAGCTGGGGCATGGTGGCAGGGCCACCTGTTAGTCCCAGCTTACTTGGGAGGCTGAGGCAGGAGAATGCGCGTGAACCAGGAGGTGGGAGCTTGCAGTGAGCCGAGATCACGCACTGCACTCCGCCTGGGCGACAGAGCGAGACTCTGCCTCAAAAAAAAAAAAAAAAAAAAAAAAGGACAAAAAAATTAAACTTAAACTCATTTGAAACTGAAAAAAAGGTAAAATTGATTTTACAAAAATCAAACTTCTGGCCAGGCGTGGTGGCTCATGCTTTTCTGCACTTTGCCGAAGCAAAGACATGAGGATCATTTGAGGCAGGGAGTTCAAGACAAGTCAGGTGTAACATAGTGAGACCCTCATCTCAATGAAAATAAAATAAAAGTAAGCCAGGTGTGGTGGCATGGCGTGTTAGCATAGGTACTTGGGAGGAGGCTGAGGTGGGAGGATTGGTTGAGCCCAGTAGTTCAGGGCTGCAGTGAGCTATGATGATGCCACAGCACTCCAGCCTGGGTGCCAGAGTGAGACACTATCACCAAAAAACTAAAATCAAACTGCCACAAAAACTTATTTGCCTGAAATTTTGGTCCACAGTCTTCATTAGATTATCTGTAAGGGCAATCAGATTCCAATTTTGTCAGAAATATAATTTGGATCCAATTGTCTTTTATGAGCCAATGAGTTTTTATTACTATCTCATGACTAAAATTCTAAAATGAAAGTTGTGAAATCTTTGTGTGTGTGTGTGTGTGTGTGTGTGTGTTTAGCTGTATTTATACATATATACATGTATTATATACTGTGTCTACATGGTAAAATCTGGCATAGTTGACCAGAAATCTCCTAAGAAGAAACGAATGCTCATATAAAATATATAGTAATTAACCCTCATGGCTTTTAGTTTATGTGAAATGAGTAAAGCATTAATAAATAAGATGATTTTAAAATTATTGGTAGAATAAAACTAGAAATGTCTTCAGAATTGTCAGCATACACTTTGCCTGGGTTTACTGGTCAGTTTTATATCTTTCTCTGTTAGATATCTGAAGCTGTCATGGTTTAACACAAAGGTTATAAAAGTATAAACTCAGCCTAAAACAGAATGATCTTTGTGTAATTTTGTGATAAGACTAATTTAATGTTGTTGATTTAATGAAAACAGCCATATCTTCTGGCTTATCAGCAAAATACCAATATACTTAACTTTAAGGTTCTTATTTGAGTGAACACCTGATAGTCACAGGCTATAAAAATGGATAACAAGGAAATAATTTGATACCATAACTAACTTTGTCTAATATTTCAGTTTTCAGAAATAATCTAGGTTATCTGCTAAAATAAATAAATTAGGTAAATGAAATAAATTTCCATAAATGAACTTTTAATGTAATTTGATATCTTAAAGCTGTATTGAATTAATATATACTAATTAAATCTGGGTCATCATCAAATAAGATTTTAAAATTATGCTATAGGGAAACATGTTTCTAAAAATTACAAAATGATTCTCATAATAAGTGTTGATATATTGAAAATGAACCAGGTAGGTAAGAAAAGAAAAGAAATTAAAAGTAAAATACTGATATGTGACAGACAATTCAAGATCTTGCTTCCTAGGTTTTACTAAATTTAAGAGTTAAAAATTGTAATCAATATATAGAATTCTGTATACAAAGAGTGCATATATATTCAAAATGTATTTTTGATAGAAACAAATTATAAGAAAGTCACAAAGTGGCTGGGCAAGGTGGCTTGTAATCCCAGCACTTTGGGAGGCCGAGGCAGGTGGATCACGAGGTCAAGAGATTGAGACTATCCTGGCCAACATGGTGAAACCCCATCTCTACTAAAAATACAAAAATTAGCTGGGCATGGTGGTGCGTGCCTGTAATCCCAGCTACTGGGGAGGCTGAGGCATTAGAGTTGCTATGACCTGGGAGGTAGAGATTGCAGTGAGCTGAGATGTGCCACTGCACTCCAGCCCTGGCAACAGAGTGGATCCCATCTCACAAAAAAAAAAAAAAAAAAAAGAAAAGAAAAAGGAAGAAAAAGGGATAAAGTTGTGTTCCTTTATTGAGAAAAATATTTTGTCTAATTGTAGGTAAACATTGTTCAAAATATGGAAGAGACAGAAGAACCAGTCAAGTAGGAGAGTGATAAGTGAAGAAAGTATAGATATGAAGATGTGTTTTTGGTAAGAAAGGTTAAAAAGAAAAGATAATAATTTTACATGAGAAAAAACTTTATATGGTAAATTTGTGTCATAAAGTAAAATTTAAGAGAGCAAAAGTAAAGGACAAAGCAGAAATTCCAAGCATATTGTCAATGGTACATACCGTCAGAGTACTTTGTGATAAGATTTGTGAAAAGAAAATTTATGAAAGGAAATTTGCATTTGATCAAGTTGGCTATAATTAAAAGGAAATTACTTATAAGTCTTTCTAAAGATTGAGCTTTGATATTAAATTATACTAATATAAAACTAAAATTTTGGTTCCCTGTGTTAGAGTAACAAGTTTTTCATCAAGTATCGATTTGCTTTCAGTAAAATTCAGAGGTTCTGAATTTTTAATTCTGAAATCTGTATCTTTTTAAAACTTTTCAGACTCGTATCTCAGAAGTTCAACTTTTACTGTACCTTGCTGCATGTGACTTGCAGGTCACATGTCATTGCCTTCTGTTTTTTTAACCCTGGGAAAGGTACATCTTTTTGCTTGACTGGGATGGTAACTTTCTCCTTCAGTGTTTTTATCAATTCCTGTAACTTTTGTTCTGGTTCTAACACTGATGTTACGGCCTAACACTGAAATGTTTTATCTTGAAGATGTAGAAAAGCAATGTTTTCCTTCAGTATACCTTGATTCTGTACTCTTGGGTTTTCTTTATAACCAGGAAACATTCATGTTGTTACTAAGAGTCCCTACTTTGTGTCCCTACTCAAGGTACTAGTTTTCTTGTTTACATTTCTCCATAATAAATTGTACATCATAATCCTGGACAAACTCTTCCTCTGTCTGCTTAAATTCAAGTACCTTTTTCATCAGGTTTGACTTCCAGGTTATCTAACTGGGCTTCTCATGAGAAAAAGCAATTACACAACAGAAGATTTTTCTTTTCCTTTTTGGTAACAGATCTGAAAAAAAAAAAAGATTTTACATTTTATCAAGATAATCCTTGTGTTGTCTTTATTAGGATTTTGGTTACTTAGGAAAACTGAGCTTTAAATGGGCTAAGGTTTTCAAAATCATGTAACTTCTATATAGCTTTTGAAGTTTTATGATTATCACTCTGGTTAAATGAATAACTATTATTTAACAGTGACCTGTGATTCTGTTTTGTTTTTCAGATTTTTGTTTTTGTTTTTGTTTTGAGACAGGATCTTGCTCTGTTGCCTAGGCTGGAGTGCAGTTGTGTGATCATAGTTCACTGTAAACTAGGCTCAAGTGATCCTCCCATCTCAGCCTCCTGAATAGCTGGGACTACTGATGCATGCCAGAACATCCAGCTAATTAAATTTTTTTTTTCATTTTTTGTTTTAGAGATAAGGTCTTTCTCTGTTGCCCAAATTGGAATGAAGTGGTGCAATCACCACTTGTTGCAATTTTGAACTCTGGGGCTCAAGCAATCTTTGGTCTCCTGAGTAGCTAGGACTACAGGTGTATGTCACCATAACCAGTTCATTTTTCATTTTTATTTGTAGATACCAGGTCTCCCTATGTTGCCCAGGCTGGTCTTGAACTTATGGCCTCAAGCAATCATCTGCCTTGACCTCTCAACGCACTGGGACTACAGGTTTGAGCTACCATGCTGTAAAACTTTTCATGGAGATGAGATTTTGCTAATGTAGCCCAGGCTGGTCTTAAACACCCGGCCTCAAGCAATCCTCCCATCTCAGCCTCCCAAAGCACTGGGATTACTGGCCTGAGCCACTGTACCCAGCCCATGATTCTCTTTTGATCAAATGTTTCAAATCTTTTGATGTCTTGGGCAGATTTCACCAGGATTGAAATTCTAAAGTATGTTTTTTTGGCTTAAAATTAACTTTGGGATATTCTAGTTGGGCCTCTGGAAACATCAAAGAATGTATCTCTCATTTTGTAGAGATATTAAATTATTTGGTAAATTGTATGGTAGGCATTGTCAAATAATAGTATTAGATCTTCTCTCAGTTACATTTATGGGTATGTTATTGATATAAGTGTTTCCAAAATCATACAAATTAATAAAAATATAATATTTTATCAGTCATAATGTTATGATTTTTGATTGCTATGTTAAAGTTACATTTGTATGAATATGTTATTAATTTAAATATTCTAAAAAGTATATAAAAGTTATAAAATTCTGATGATCTGATGTAACATTATCAGTCATAATTCTGGTTGCATCTACTAGATATCTTAAATGCTACATGTAATAGCAATAACTAAATTTCCTGGTCAATTGGAACTTTCATCAGATTTTAATCATGCCTATTCTAAATTTTTATCATCCACAGCTGTTGTTTTGAATTCTTCTCTAAAAGCATTTGCAATCAGCTGTATTCCAAAATTGCTTTTCATGGAAAAGACTAACAAGTACTCTTGAACACTGATTTCTGATAACTTTAGGATAAATGGGCTAAATAAAAACTCCCAGAATTCTAATAAAAGACGGACTCATTCATGAGGATTGCTATGTCAACATCAAGCAGAATAAGAAATACAAGGGACTGAACTGATGGGAGCACTAAAATGATTACATAAATTTTTGTTTGAAATATTGCTGATGGTTTTTGTATCTTGTTTTCCAAAGTCAACACTTCCACAGTACATCTCACTACAAAGACATTCCCCAAGGTTAGTGGGTGACCCAAAGCCAATCAGCCCACTCTGTGATTAGCCCACCGTAGTCCTATCTTTTGGTGTTGAGTGTTCCCACAACCTCCAAGGTTTCAAACCTTCCTTTTTCTCTAAGTCCCCTGCAGTAACAACCACTCACTGCAACCACTGGCTGCCACTTCCGAAACTGCAGCTTTTGCCAATAACTTGTCACCCATTACACATACAAAAGTCAGGTTTTCTCTCACAATAGAAAGTACTCCCTGGTACCCCAAAAGCCAAAGAGATCAGGTACTACTTTTAATTGCTCCTTTTTTTTTTTTTTTTTTTTGAGACTGGGTCGCGCTTTTTTACCCAGGCTGGAGTGCAGTGGCGTTATCTTGGCTCACCACAACCTCCGCCTTCTGGGTTCAAGTGGTTCTCCTGCCTCAGCCTCCTGAGTAGCTGGGATTACAGGTGTATGCCACTACATCTGGCTAATTTTTTGTATTTTTAGTAGCGATAGGGTTTCACCATGTTGGCCAGGCTGGTCTTTAACCCCTGACCTCAGGTGATCTGCCTGCCTTGGCTTCCCAAAGTGCCGGGATTACAGGTGTGAGCCACCGTGCCCAGCCTTTAATTCCTCTTATAACTCTTCATTATTTAACAATTTGGTTTCCTCTATGACAATATAAACTGCAATTTATAAATTAATAGGATCAGATTTCAAAAAAAATTCTTGAACCTAATAATTCAATCTTATCTTTTAATTCTAAATACATTTTCCCTTTTTTTCCTTTGAGAGAAGGAGCTGTGAATATTATATAATCTACAATCCTTTTTGTAATGTCCAGGATTTTTGCAGAAATTGCAAAGCAGAGGATTAGATTGGTTTTGGAACTTACTAGGTTAGACAATTGTTTTAGTTGCAAACTCATGATCTTTTTAGCTTTTCCTCTTTGTTTGACTTTTTCTTTTTCTTCCTTAGGTAGAGTATGGAATATTTGATCAGCAAAATTAACTAGCTCATGAGTTTGAGAGGCAGTCCAACTGGGGCATTATCTCTTTGTTACAAATGCCAGTTCTTCATCTGATCCATTTACTAAGTTTTAGTTAAGGAGAACATCATTTTGGTAAGTTAGCATACGTTTATTCTGATAGGTCTGAATATTGTTTAAATGTTTTTTTTTTTTTCACACTCTCATAGTATAACATTACAGGCTCATCAAGATTTTGTTGGTATTGTTATATCTTGTTCCAATTAACAACTTTTGGAAAACAAAGGGGATAGGATTTAGCAAAGCTTTGGCAGTATTGCAGGCCCATTCATGATCTGCTTCAGAAAATTTATGTAAGTCCTTTAAACAATTTCTCCAATTTGCCTTTGCTATCTAATCTTTGGCTTTACTTTCTGACACTAACATGCAAATCACTTGGTATAAACCAGAGAATCTGGGATTATAAGCTCAAACATTTAAATCACATTTTCTAGCAAATTCAGTGGGGTCCTGAAGAGGATCTGGGAATTTTAAAATTATGGCTTTAAGTTCTACTTTTGACCATGGTTGATACATCAAGTCAGGTTCTCCTCTAATGGACACAAGGTATTTCCAAAATGGAGCCAGAACAGCAGAAGGAGGAAGAAGAGGAAGAGGAGGTAAATCTGGACAAGGAAGTTCTGTCAAAAGAGAAGGAGGAGGCCAGCTCACACCTGTAATCCCAGCACTTTGGGAGGCCAAGGCAGGCAGTTCACTTGAGGCCAGGAGTTTGAGACCAGCCTGGCCAACATGGTGAAACCCTGTCTCTACTAAAAAATACAAAAATTAGTAGAGCATGACGCATGCCTGTAATCCCAGCTACTCGGGAGGTTGAGGCAGGAGATGTGATTCAACCTGAGGGTGGGGGTGTGTGTGTGGAGGTTGTAGTGAGCCGAGGTCACGCCACTGCACTCCAGCCTGGGTGACAGAATGAGACTCCATCTCAAAAAAAAAAAAAAGAGAAACAGAAGCTGCAGGAGGGGGAAAAATTTTAGCAGTATTTTTAAATTCAGAAATCGTTTTGTACTTTTCTCTTACTCTTGCAGATAATTGGCTTTATCACAACCTCTTTTAGAGGTTTCTAAGTACCGTTGAAAATAGCTCCCAGTTATTTTCTTTTCTTTTAGAGCCAACTTTTACTAATGCATCATGCAGATAGACTAGTTTAGGTGTTTCAAAGGTACCCCATTTTGGCCATTGTAACTTGGGGTCATCTTGAGTAATATGAGATCCATTTTCCTAGATATTTGCATGAGGAGGTGCTGTGAGTATTAAACACGAATCCAGCTGGTGTTTCTAGTGGTGGAGCTCTACTTCAGGAGGAAGACTCAGTTATAGAAGTAAGGTTGCCCATAACTAAGACTTTCCTTTTGAATGACCAAAAAGACCTAGCAGGACGAATTTTGATCACTCAAGAAGAAAAGTTTAAATTTGTCAATTGAACTGAGCTTCACAATCTGGCCAGTTTTAAAGACTTTGTTTTTTCAGTGATAAACTGGTATCTTCCTGATCAAAATTCTGAATGAGAGAAAAGTTTGAAAAGCTCTAAGGTGTAATTCAAATAAGACCTTAATATCAGAGAAAAAGTGAAACTTACAAATCTGCGATCAGCAAAATCACTAAAGAACAACAAATGAAACTCTTACCGAACAGTAGAGTTTCAATTTCAGCCCTATCAATTTAGGAATGTGTGTAGCTCAAATAATGTCTCAATCCTCAAGCAAGCCAGGAAGATTAAAACTTGAGAGGGGCCTTTCCAGGGATCATGGTTGACTCCAGAAGGTTGGATAAACTACTGGCACCAGGTCTCCAGTTGTCAGTGAAGTGACAGTGATCACTGGAGGTCTGCTTCAGGTCCCGTTTGGGTCACCAAAATGTCAACCTTAAGTAATGAGATACAGAAAATATGATTAAGCATAGAGTTTATTTGAGCTCAAAGTTTGAAGATGGCCACCCAAAAGCATAGATTCAAGTTTCCCTGAATACACACTTCTATTTGCTGTAATTACAAGTAGTTTAAACATTTAAAAAAAACAATTAGAGACAGGGTCTTACTGGGCCTGAACTCCTGGCCTCAAGCAATCCTCCTGACTCAGCTTCCCAAAGTGTTGGGATTTTAAGCATGAGCCACTGCACCCTGCACCCAGCCTTACTAGTGGGTTTTAAAGGAAAAAAATAAAAAAGAGGCAATTCCTAAATTGTTTACCAAGATTTTACATTAAAATGACATAAGTTATTGATTGGCTACACATTGTTCTTTGTATCACAAATTTCAGGAACATGAAGGTAATGGGCGAGGCAGCTAGTCAAGAACAAAATGCCTTTAAACAATTGCCTGGGTGCAGGGGCCATGACTGAAGCTCCATACTCATGTCTCTCTGGGCCTGATAAATTTTGCACACCTCACATAGATGGGATCGCTCTGAGCTATTTCTCTTTTTCTCAGGGATAATAGTATTTTTCTCATAGGGGTTTCATAAAGATTAAATAAGAAATAGCAAATTGCATATAGTGTCTAGTACAGAGTAAGTGTTCAATAACAGTTATGATGAAATGATTGCAGTAATTGAGAAGAGAAAGGAGAAATAGGAGAGAGGAGTAAAATTCCTTAAGAAGGTCAAGATGTATGCCCTCCTAAGCGCAGGTAGTGGAATTAACTCTGCATTCACCAGGGAATAGGAAACTTTTCCCTTCACCCTTTAGGGTTCACTGAAAACTGACAAAAGGCAGATTAATAGGAGAAAAGGCATACACAATTTTATTTTCATGTGAATAGCATGGGGGAATCACAGAATGGTGACCCAACAATGCACTATTATACAGAAGCTTATGTACCTGTTTTCAGAGGGGAGAGATGTACTGACTTGGGAGGTAGGAGGCAGATGATATAGAAAGGCGAAGGACAGGTCGGGCACGGTGGCTCACGCCTGTAATCCCAGCACTTTGGGAGGCTGAGGTGGGCGGATCACCTGAAGTCAGGAGTTTGAGACCAGCCTGGCCAACAGGGTGAAACCCTGACTCTACTCAAAATACAAAAATTAGCTGGGTATGGTGGTGGGCGTCTGTAATCCCACCTACTCAGGAGGCTGAGGCAAGAGAATCGCTTGAACCCAGGAGGTGGAGGTTGCAATGAGCCGAGATCACACCACTGCACTCCAGCCTGGGCAACAGAGTGAGGCTCCATCTCAAAAAAAGAACCAGAGCTGCACAGAAACAAAGTCTGTCTTATTATGTAGATAAAGTCCCTGGGAAATCTCTCGGTGCTGCTCTCAGAAGAACAGATGAAAAGTCTGTCTGGGTGTGGGGATGACCCCCAGTCTCTTCTCTTCTCTGGTGGTTGATCTTTCCTGGTTATTTGATGAGATTCCTAGGGAGGGAGTCTTAAGACAATTGTATTCAAACTTTCTTCTTCTGATAAGAAATTCCAGAAAGAGTCTTTCTTATTTATTTATTTATTTTTATTTTTTTGAGACAGAGTCTCCCTCCGTTGCCCAGGCTGGAGTGCAGTGGCAGGATCTTGGCTCATTGCAACCTCCCTCTCCCGGGTTCAAGCGATTCTCCTGCCTCAGCCTCCCAAGTAGCTGGGATTACAGGCACCCACCACCACCACGTCTGGCTAATTTTGGTATTTTTAGTAGAGACAGGGTTTCACCATATTGGCCAGGCTGGTCTCGAACTCCTGACCTGAGGTGAGCCGCCCAGCTAGGCCTCCCAAAGTGTTGGGATTACAGGTGCAAGCCCCCATGCCTGGCCAAGAGTCTTTCTTAGGGTGCTTCTGGAAACAGGATCAGAGAGACAGGAAGGTGGGAGAAGGGGCATAGAGAAAGACCTTTGTTCTCAGGCTTATTTTTGAGGATTTTCAAAAGCACTCAGCATGGCTATATTTGGGGAATCATTTCTGTGCCCCAACACAGGGAAGAAAAGGGAGAAACACACTAGATATGGATTTTTTTTTAATTTTTATTTTTTGAGATGGGGTCTTACTTTGTCACCTAGGCTGTAGTGCAGTGACACAATCATGGCTCACTGCAGCCTTGACCTCCTGGGCTCAAGTGATCCTCCCACCTCAGCCTCCCAAGTAGCTGAGACCACATGTGTGCACCACCACATCTGGTTAAATTATTTTTATTTTTCTGTAGAGATGGGGCCTCCTTATATTGCCCATGCTGGTCTCAAACTCCTGGGCTCAAGTGTTCCTCCTGCATTGGCCTCCAAAGTGTTGCGATTACAGGCGTGAGCCACTGCACCTGGCCTAGATCTAGAATCCAAAGCACTTGGCAACTTGAGAATAAGAAAGAGCAGTCAAAGTTGATTATAAAATTTTGAGGCAAGCTGGGTGTGGTTGCACCTGAGTAGTTGGAACTTGTAATTCCAGCTATTGAAGAGAGCACCTTGAGTAGGTGGAACCTGTAGTAATTCCAGCTACTCAAGAGGCTGGAATATCTATATTCCAGACAAGAAATTCCAGAAAGAGCCTTTCTTATTTATTTATATTTTTTGATTTATTTATTTTTATTTTATATGTATATATATTTGATGCTAACTACAAGAGTGGTGTCAATAACAAAAACAGAGAAGTAGTTTTCTCTATTTTTTTGGACTACTTTGATGGGAAGATAATAAATTTTATTTCAACTGTTAAAGTAGGAAATGCTTATAAGACATCCAGATGGAGATATTAAACAATGAGAATGAAGGCCAGAAGAGATCAAAAAAGGACTTGAAACTGGAGACAGATTTGAAATCATCTACTTGGTGTTAATAATGACACTGTGGGAGCAAGAGAATTTATTAATTTTGTATTGCTAGTGTATTCTGTACATGCTGGTCTTGCACATAGTAGGTGTTCAATGAACATGTTTTACTGTTGTCGCTGAAAAAGAAAACAGAATTATCTAGATAATCTACAATTAGGAGAAGAACGAGGACTTGATTGAGGACCCAAAGGATGACCAAGAAGAGGTGCAGGAGAAAACCCAGAATTCTGCAGTGTCTTGGCGATGCAAGTGTCAGAGGCATTTGAACCAGAGCTACTCGATCTTGAGTGAGGGCTAAGAAAAATGAGGCTGGGACTTGCTGGGCTGCATTCCCAGGACGGTAGGTATTCCTAGTCGCTACATTAACGGAACAGATTAATAACGTTTACTAAACAGACCCAGACTCAGGAATGTCCTGATATCTTGAAAACAAAAGCACTCCTAATTTTGCTTTAAAGATAAATAATATCAATTCTTGCAAAATACAGTAATTAAGAAAATTAATTTTTAAATCACAAACCCTTGTAGCAGAGCAAATCTCCCCATGTTTTTTGTTGTTGTTGTTGTTGTTGTTATCCTATATATAAATAAGCATTGTACCTAGGGGTGGGCGCGTTCCTCCTCTTACTTTCAGAAACGCTCTACTCTGTCTATAGAGTAGCTATTCTTTCACCACTTTACTTCCTTAATAAACTTGCTTTTGCTTTGCACTGTGGACTGGCCCCAAATTCTATCTTCAGTGAGATCCAAGAACCCTCTCCTGGGGTCTGGATCAGGAGCCCTTTCTGGTAACATAAGGAAGAGAAATTCATGAAGGAGAGGGTGGTCTACAGTGTGAAATGCCAGTGAGAGATTAAGGACCCTGCGGACTGAGAAACTTTTTGGAATTGGCAAATTCTTAAAAATATAAGCTCCATGAGGGCAGATGTTTGTTTAGAGGCAGGATCTTACTTATTGCCCAGATTGGAGGGCAGTGGCTATTCACAGGCACAATCACAGTGCACTGCAGCCTCAAATCCCTATGCTCAAGTGATGCTCTTGTCTCAGCCTCACAAGTAGCTGGAACTACAGACATGTGCCTGGGCTTCCGCTGAGAGCAGATATTTTTGACTGTTAGCAGACTGCCTGTAACATTGTAGGTGCTCAACAATAAATACTGTGAACAAAAATTCTCTGAAAAGGAATTTAGAAGAAAGAGAGTATTCCAATGAACAGTTTGCAAATTGGGGAGACACAGCCTTTGGCACAAAAGGAAGGTACATTCCAGAGAACAAAGGGAGGGATTGTTTTTATACAGAAGGTACCTACCCAGGTTCCCATGCTCCTCCATTTATGCAAATGAAGGATGCAAACTTGCTTAGTTCTGATTGGTTGATGTTTGCTGAGTTTTGGTTGGTTGACACAGGTTACAGCTTATTGGTTGGTTCTGGAGTATAAACAGGAACTGGCAGCTATGAAAGCTGAAAAGTTAAGCAAAAGCCTGTAAGGAACTCAGAGTACATGTGTGATCTCTAATCAGCAAACGACCAATTGGCTCTGTTTTCAATTCAGGCCCAGTTAGACACTAAGGATTTATCTTGAAGGATTGGCTTTTTCAGGTTTCACAACGCAGAACAAATGAACTGATGATATTTCAGAAAACTGTTGGGCACAGAAGCCAAATCTTAAGGAATAAATAGAGTTGCCACTTTCCTAAAAAATACCCTGCTATTTCTCATCTGTTTTCCCCATGTAGTCAGAGTGATTTAATGCAGTTGTGTAATAATGGCTCACTGCAGCCTCGACCTCCCAGGCTCAAACTATTATCCCACCTCAGCCTCTTAAGTAGCTGGGACTATAGGCATATACCACTACGTCTGGCTAATTTTTAAATTTTTTTGTAGAGACGGGGTCTCAATATGTTGCCCAGGTTGTTTTTGAACTCCTGTGCTCAAGTGATCCTCGTGCCTTGGTTTCCCAAAGAGTTGAGATTATGGGTGTGAGCCACCATGCCTGGCCAGAATGACTTTAAAAAAATTAAATCATCAGATCATGTAACTTGCCTCCTGAAAATGTTTCAGTGGATTCCCATTGAACTTAAGATTTAAAAAAAACAAAACAAATCCACATTGCCTGAGATCACGAACTCTGCACAACCTGGCCTATATTTTCAACTGTACTGCATACCACTTTACTTCTGCACTACACTCCAGCCATGACCTTTAACCGGAGAAGAGAGACAAATTCTCATCTTTCCCTTCTATTCCTTTGTCATACCAATCATCTTCCTGTATTAGGATATTTGCATATGGTTCCCTTTGTTTAGAATATGCCATCCTATGACACATGGTCTCCCACCAGGATCTCCCAGCCAAACTTCCTTCTCATCCTCAGGTTTCTGTTCAATTGTCATTATCACCTCCCCAAAGGGTCCTCATTCCTGTGTACTTGGTTTAAAGTTGTCCTTCCCTCAGCCCCCATTGCTCTCAAATGACCTTGCTTTGTTTCCCTCATAAGACTTGCTTTATGTCCCTCATAGGACTTCATAAAGTTTGGAATTACCTTGTCTATTTGTTCATGCATTTATAATCTGTCTCCTCCCACTAGGATATAAACTATGTAAAGAGAGAGAACATGCAAACTGGGAGGAGAGTAACTGATGAATAAAATTTGAGGAAAAGAAAAAAGAGATGAGATGAAGAACTCAAAGGGAGGAATGAGAGTACCTTTCTTTCTCAGAAAGAAGAGCCAAGAACATGGAAGAGAGCAGAAACATCGGGGAGTCTGAGGTAGAACACGTTGTGTAACCTGACAAGTTATTTTCCCATCAGCCTTTAATTACATAGTTAAATTGGCTGTGGGAATAGCAGCAAACTATTTGATTTTAGGTTGCCAGCTGGCTCTGGAAGACATGCATGTGTATGGGGTGGAGAAAATCCTTTTCCAGATTCTTTTTTCCTTGTCTTTACTAGGCTGAATAAGAAGAATCAGTGGCCATATTATATATGTAAAATGGGCTTTGGGAACTGCAAAGGTCTTTACAGATGTGGTTACTGTTATTTTACTTTGTGCATGATTCTAAGGGAGGTATGCACCGTCTGAAGCGCCAGGAAGGAGCATCTGGGTGGATGTCCATGATGGCTCCAAAGGGACTTCAGCATTTTTCCTCAGAGACAGTGAGTTCAGATTTACACTGTATTTGTTTTTTATCACAGGCTTTGAAATGACTAAGCATTAAATTCATATAACCCTGCTGTGAAACACATTATAATAATGTTATTATAACCCCATTTTCTGTTGAAAGATAGAAATAAGATTTGTTCCAGACTAAACAGGAAGTCAGTAATAAGATTAAAGTTACTGGTTAATCTAGGCTTTCTGATTGTGCATACATTACATCTTTTAAACACATAAGGTTCAGGATGACAACTACCAGCAGCATGATTGGTGTTCTTTTCTATTCCCTCCCTCTCCGCTTACCCCCAAACCAAGGTGATATGGTTTGGATTCGTGCCCCCCCACCCCAATCTCATGTTGAATTGTAACCCCCAGTGTTGGAGGAGGGGCCTGGTAGGAGGTGACTGGATCATGGGGACAGATTTTCCCCTTGCTGTTCTCATAATAATAAGTTCTTACGATCTGATTGTTTAAAAGTGTGTAGCACCGCTGGGCATGGTGACTCATGCCTGTAATCCCAGCACTTTGGGAGGCTGAGGCAGGTGGATCACGAGGTCAGGAGTTTGAGACCAGCCTGGTCAACATGGTGAAACCCCGTCTCTACTAAAAATACAAAAATTAGCTGGGCGTGGTGGTGCATGCCTGTAGTCTCAGCTACTCAGAAGGCTGAGGCAGGAGGATTGCTTGAACCTAGGAGGTGAAGGTTGCAGTGACTGAGATCATGCCACTGCACTACAGCCTGGGTGACAGAGTAAGGCTCCATCTCAAAAAAGAAAAAAAAAAGCATGTAGCACCTCCTCCTTTACTCTCTTCCTCCTGCTCTAGCCATGTAGGACGTGCCTGCTTCCTGTTTGCCTTCCACCATGATTGTAAGTTTCCTGAGGCCTCCTCAGCCATGCTTCCCGTATAGCCTGTAGAACTGTGAGTCAATTAAACTTATTTTCTTTATAAATTACTCAGTCTCAGGTAATTTTTTTATAGCAATGTGAGAACAGACTAATACAAAAGGCATGTGTGTATGGTATGTGAAAGACAGATGAAGAAAATATTAAATATGAGTATTTATAACTATATGTAACTATAGTTTATGACTAGTAGCAAACTAGTGCTGCTTTCTAGTATTTGGGATTGCAGATTTTCTTTGCGTGACTGTGCTTCCCTGGGAGATGCTGGCACAGAGCTGTGTGTCATGGGAAGGGGAAGTTGGCAGTGGGTAGGCGCTGCAGAGTGCTCATGAAGAACCTTCCTGGGCTGCTGATTTAGAGGTTGGGGAGAGCAATGGTGAATGAGGATGACGATTTAGCTGTTACCACAGAGAGTGAAGATAGTTAATGATTTGTAGTAAATAAGGCTGGAAGAGGCCCACAGGAAACTTTCATAAAAGACAAACATTCCTTGTCTTCAAAATATTTACAGTTGGTACTATGCTTTTCTTCCCTTCTCTTGTATATTTCTTTAAAAAATCTAATTTGTCATTTTGAAATAGGTCTAGAAAAGTCGATGTCCTATGAGGGTCAAGTGAGGGCTTGACTGAAGCACTGAAGGTTTGGCTCTTCCCATGAGTAACCCTTTACTTCCGATGATGTAGATAAATGACAATATAGATAAATTGGGAGCCAAAGGGTTTTCAGGAATTAGTAATGCTGTGGTAAGCAAAGTGTGGGTAGAATTGTGGCAGTGGTTGTTGCATATGAGGGTGCTGAGAGGAGGCATTTCTGTGTGCCTGCTCAGTTCTCTGGGTGGGGGACTGCCACTAGTTCAGGTGCAACTCAAGCAAGCTCCCAAAGCAGCTATACTTGCCTACTTCCTAACAGTTTGGGCAGCTTGGGAGCTCTGCAGAGTACACATAGGCCCTTGGACCCCCACTTTTATTTTATTTTTTTCTTTCAATTTTTTATTTTAGGCTCAAGGGGTACATATGCAGGTTTGTTACAGGGGTAAATTGCATGCTGTGGGGGTTTGGTGTACAGATAGTCTTGTCCCCAGGTAATCAGCATAATACCCTATAGGCAGTTTTTTAATCTTTGCCCTCTTCCTACTCTCCACCCTCAAGTAGGCCTCAGTGTCTATTGTTCCCTTCTTTTTGTCCATGGGTACTCAGTGTTTATAATTCCACCTGTAAGTGAAAACATGTGGTATTTGATTTTCTGTTCCTGCATTAATTCATTTTGGATAATGGCCTCCAGCTCTATCTGTGTTGCTGCAAAGGACATGGTCTCGCTCTTTTTTGTGGCTGTGTAGTATTCCATGGTGTATATGTACCACATTTTCTTTATCCAGTCCACCACTGATGGGCATCTAGGTTACTTCCATGTCTTTGTTATTGTGAATAGTGCTGTGATGAACATACACGTGCATGAGTCTTTTTTTTTTTTGAGGCAGGGGTCTCACTCTGTTGCCCAGGCTGGAGTGCAGTGGCATGATCTTGGCTCACTGCAACCTGACTCCCAGGCCCAGTTGATCCTACCACCTCAGCATCCCAAGTAGCTGGGACTACAGGCACTCGCCACCATGCCCAGCTAGTGGTGTGTGTGTGTGTGTGTGTGTGTGTGTGTGTGTGTGTGTGTTTGTCATGTTGCCCCGGCTGGTCTCCAACTCCTGAGCTCAGGGTGATCCACCCGCCTCAGCCTCCCTAAGTGCTGGGATTACAGGAGAGTCACTTAGCCTGGCCATCTGTGCATGTGTCTTTATGGTAGAACGATTTATATTCCTTTGGGTATATACCCAGCAATGGAATTGCTGTGGACCCCCAATTTTAATGACAGTACTTTCCCTATTTTAAAAGACTCCTATGATCCTGTGTGAAACGTAGGAGATTGAAAGAAAAAAAAAAGACTCCTATGATTCTTTCTTTCATCTCCAACCAACTTAGGCTAGAAAGAAGGAAAATCAAATAGGCAGGCATGGTGGCTCACGCCTGTAATCCCAGCACTTTGGAAGGCCGAGGTGGGCAGATCACCTGAGGTCGGGAGATTGAGACCAGCCTGACCAACATGGAGAAACCGCGTCTCTACCAAAAATACACAATTAGCCGGGGGTGATGGTGCATGCCTGTAATCCCTGCTACTTGGGAGGCTGAGGCAGGAGAATCGCTTGAACCTGGGAGGCGGAGGTTGCAGTGAGCTAAGATGGAGTCATTGCATTCCAGCCTGGGCAACAAGAGGGAAACACTGTCTCAAAAAAAAAAAAAAAAAAAAAAAAAGAAAGAAAGAAAATAAAAAAGGGCAGCCCAGTTCTGATTACAGCCCACTAAATGCAGTTACTCATCAATTACTTTATAGTCTCAGAAATATGCACTCATTAAGATTCAGCACATGTATAAATAAGCTTATGTACCTAATGTTTACACACACTTTAATACTAACCCTACACTGTATGTATGGTTTATTCTTGCCACCATGTATCTTTCCAGACTCACACATTACCATCACTATGCTGCCTTTTATTTGTTGTAGAAAGTACCCCAGAGTTGGAAGATCCCGGATTTGAAGCCTGTTTCTCCCATTATTATATGGCTTGTAGGAAGGGGAACCATCTGAAGAGAAAGGGTAGGTTTCTCTGGTCTCAGGTCTCAGAAGACCAGTGGCCTTATAAAACCGTAATTCCGGCCGGGCGTGGTGGCTCACGCCTGTAATCCCAGCACTTTGGCAGGTTGAGGCAGGCAGATCACGATGTCAAGAGATCAAGACCATTCTGGCCAACATAGTGAAACCCTGTCTCTAGTAAAAATACAAAATTAGCCAGGCGCGGTGGCGCATGCCTGTAATCCCAGTCACTTGGGAAGCTGAGGCAGGAGAATCTTTGAACCCGGGAGGCAGAGGTTGCAGTGAGTCGAGGTAGCGCCACTGAACTCCAGCCTGGGCTACAAGAGCGATACTCCCTCTCAAAACCAACCAACCAACCAAACAAAAACAAAGATTGTAAATATTTGTTTGGTTTGCACTGAAAAGAGAAGGCTTCTCCTTAGAGTCTGAATCAAGGAGGAAAAGGAAGGAAAACAAGTTCATCTTACATCAAAAGTCTACTTTGTGTCGGACACTCAAATTCCTAAATGGGGAGAAATGCAAAAAACTGACTCTTCAGAGTCATAACTAACATTATCTTGGGCCACAAGCTTATCAGGAGTGCAATACAAGTCAGTGTCTTCTCTTTTCTACTTAAAGAAAATTCTCATTTTTATTTATTATTACTTTATTGCAAGGAGAAGCAGACAATAAGTAGGAGTCTTATGAGGGGCTCTGATGCATAGGAGCAATGGCGAATGAGGGTGGTGACTCACCACCCCATGGGACTCCAAGGTTTCGGTGACAGCTCGCCAGAGCCCCAGCGGGCGCCGAGATTGCGGCGAGGGGAGCCGCAGCCCAAGGCAAATCCACGCAGTTGGTCCCCGCCACGCCCCCGTAGTCACCCGCAGCCCCTCGTCGCAGGGCGCTCCGCGCATGCGCACGGGGTCGGGCTCGGGAGGCGGACCCTGGCTGCCATCTTGCAGCGCGCGGGAACCGCCGCCGCCGCTGGCCAAAAAGCGGAGCCCGGCGAAAGCGTGTCCTGCTCAGACAGCCTTCCTTCTCCATTGCCACCGTGCCGAACAGACAGGCTGCCCAACTGCAACTGTAGGCCAATGAACTAATCCATCGCCCGCAGACCGACTCCCAGCAGCGGTTCGTCCCGGTGCCCACCCCCGCGAAACGGAGCGCCCGGGCACCTAGCCTCCCCGCCGGCCACGATGCCGAACGTGCTGCTGCCGCCCAAGGAGAGCAACCTCTTCAAACGCATCTTGGTGAGTGACCACTCACAAGGGCGGCCGCACTGCCGCCCCCCAGTCTCCGGGTCCTCGGGCCTTAAGGGCAAGCGGTCTGGCGGCGGCCGGCGCAGGCCGGGCTTGGCCTCCGCTGCCCACCGCTCTTTGTTTACCTCGGAGCTCGCGGGACCCCACTTTCCCGCTCCGACCGGCCCCGGGGGCAGCCGCGCCGCTCCTCCGCGCGCTTCCTTTCCTCGGTCTGCAGCGGCGCGCCTCACCCCCGCCGCGCTCTTTCCAGAAACTTCACGCCGCCCTCCGCAGTGCCTGGGCACAGCCTCCTCGGCTGGTAGTGGCTGCCGTGCGCTCTGCCACGCCGGGCTCGCAGCAGTGCCTCAGGGATCCTCCCTGGTTGGTTTATTTTGCCAGTCTCCCCTCAGTGAGGTGTTTTGCGTCCTGCATTCTCTGTTTTGCGTTTAATTCGATTGCACGGCGCACCCGCATACCTGTTAAAGCGGGATCGATGCGATGGTGGAATTTTTCCTGGTTACGAGGAAATAAAACCGGCAACTCTAGGAAGCCAAGCTTGGCACCACCTCCCGTTGGGAAAAAAGTTTGCCTGTTTATAATGTACCTCTTTGGAAGTGAATAGTTGACTTGAAGTGCTTCACTGAGTTGTCACCAACTTCAACACAGCTCTTTCCTTTCTAGTCGCACAGGCCTTGCTTGAGTAATTAAAGCCGCGTGGACTGGCTGGTTTTGCATTTAAGGGGAGCGTTTTTATTTTATTGCGGAGCAGAACCCTGAATAATGGCCCCATAGTGATGACCGCTGCGGAGCCGGGTGGGCAGTTTTCGGTGGGCTGTGTGCCAGCGTCCCTGGTGGCTTTCCAGGTTCTGGTCTTCCAAGAAGAGGCAGCATGCCTTTGCTTTCCTCAGTATCCTCTGGCTACCCTAGGTTTTAAACTAATATTGTTAGTAAGTAACTGTCTTTTTTAGTTTATCTTTTCACCGGAAGAAAAGCTTTTATTTACTAAACATGCATTTAGGTTTAAAGGTGAATTTATTGAAAGCTGGGTTGGCTATATGGCTGTTAGTTGTTGCTTAACTTTACTATAAGTAAAATACTGATTTTAGAGTAATATTAAGTATTAACAGCGGCAGATAATTCATAGTAGCTGTTCCGTTTCAAGCCGATAGAACCTTCACACTTAGTCTTCAGAAGGTTAAGATACATAGTTAGGGATAAAAATTTTAAATATTATGTGGTGCTTAGTTTTGAACCAATAAGAGACAAGTGTGAGAACATTAAAAATATGAGTAATTAAAGCATGTGGCAGGTTGCTTCATTGGGCTTTGTATTTTTTAATTTTACTTTTTCTCATGCCCTTCTATTTTACACAGCATGGAATTGGAGAAGTAACTTATTTATTTTTATTTTTAATTTTTTTTTGCCCCGGGAATCTGAAACATTAATGAGAATATCATTTATAAATCGCTAGTTGGATTTCAGGACATTTGGCATCATACTTTAAAGATGACAGCACTTCTTTTCTCTCTATATGAATTTTTTGTAGTTCAAATCATGGATCAGTGTCATAAGGAAAACGTTACATTACTTGTTATTCTCAAATACAAAAAAGGTAAAGTTTATCCCCAGATAAATTGGGAAATGGTAACCACTAAAAAAAAATCAATTATTGTGAGATGGAAGTCTCTTGTTGGCCAGGCTACTGTCGAACTCCTAGCTTCAAGTGATCATCCCACCTCAGCCTCCCAAATTGCCGAGATTACAGATGTGAGCTACTGTGCCCAGCCAAGCTAAACATTTTTAAATCTAAGTATGTAATGTTTCTGATAAGGCTGCATGAATTTAGGAGGATTCTGCATAAGTGGGTGATTTTATCATTTCACAATTGCAATAAATGTGGGTAAAATTTGGCTACAACAAATTCCATAGCAAACGGAAGTCTCTATAATAAAATTATCTTTAAAGTTTAGTGGGTTAAAGTGCTTTGCTACCAACAGTAAAAGTTTTCTATTGAAAAAACTTAAACGCATCTACACAAACTGACCAGCTGGTTTTTTGCATGTTCCACGTGGCTTATATCTGTATGTCTTATTCCCCAGACTGGATATTGATTAGCATTGCAGTTCGTTGAATTTTGGAGCTATTCCATGCCCTGTTTTAGGAAGAGACAAACCTAAGGATGGTAAATGACCAAGGGGCTAAGGTTCTCTGTCTGAGTATTAGCAAAATTGAGACTAGACAATCTATCGTTTCTATTTACTATATAATGGTTGCTGAGTGAATGTAGATTTGTCTTTTTTTTTGTTTTGCAAGAGCGTATCGCTCTGTCGCTCAGGCTGGAGTGCAGTGGCAAGATCTCAGCTCACTGCAACCTCTGCCTCCCAGATTCAAGCGATTCTCTTGTCTCAGCCTCCTGAGTAGCTGAGATTACAGGTAGACTTGTCTTCTTTACCTGAGTGCTTGGACTCTGGGACCAGACTACCTGGTTAAGAGTTGTGGCTCTGGCACTTAATAGTTCTATAAACTCTGTAACTGTGCGTCAGTTTCTCTATCTAAATGGGGATATCATGCATCTCATAGGCTTTCCTGGGATTTAAATAAAGAGTAAATAAGCTGTCATGGGATGAAGGAAAAAAATAAGAACAGTGTCTGGACGTATAGTAAATGCTTCCAGTAGGTGTTAACTATTATTACTGTTATTGGCAGTATGATTATTATTTTCAGATCACTTGGTAAGTCAGAAAAACTAGTATTTCTCTTTGTCTTTCTCAGTAGTTCCTTCCACTTGTTTTTTTCTTGTATGTGTGAGACAGACTCTTGTAGTCAAACTCAGATTGTTATTTTTTATTTTAAAATATTTTTGGAATAGGTGATATATTCACATCATTCAAAATTTAGGTTTCTCTCCTATCCTTATCCCAGAGCCACCTAGTTCCCTTCCCCAGAAGCTGTCAAGAGGCCTCAATATAAACTTTTTTTCTGTGAAGACTTTTCTAATTCCTTCCACATCCAGCCCCTGCTGCAGGGCTTAATGACGGTCTCATCTATTGTTAGTGGCATTTTGCTTTGAACTTAGTAGGCTGTATTTATGGAGCAGTTTCTTATTTGTTTAGCCATCGCAGTGCAGCAGTACTTAAAGTAGGCTGAGGCTGGCGCAGTGGCTCACGCCTGTAATCCCAGCACTTTGGGAGGCTGAGGTGAGAGCTAGGATCACTTGAGCCCAGGAACAAAAGAACAACATAACAACATAGCGAGACTTCATCTCTACCAAGAAAAAAAAAAAATTTAGCCAGGCGTGATGGCACATACCTGTAGTCCTTCCTACCCACTCAGGAGGCTGAGGTGAGAGGATCACTTGAGCTCGCAGTTTGAGGTTATGGTAACTGTGTCTCTGCACACCAGCCTGAGCACCAGAGCGAGACTGTCTCTAAAAAATAAAGATAGGTGAGGTCATTGTTCTAAGGATCCATTATATGATGGTGGGGAAGACAGACACTAGATAATAGCAAAGATTTCAGGAAATGATAGCACTGTGTGGAAAATAGAGTAATATGGTAGAGAGTATGTTGGGGAAGGAAGGAGGATGGGAGTATTTGATAAAGTGGGCAAGTAGGGGACATGTGAGACTTAGATGATAAGGAGGAACCATCCATGGGAAGATCTAGGAAAGCATTTCAGGTGTAAGGAACACAAGTATAGGAGGCCTGAGGTGGGGATAAGCTTGGCATGTTGAGTAACGTAACACCCAGTGTGACTGAACAACTTAAGCCAGGGAAGAGTAGAAAGCAATGGGGTGTTGTCCGCATCAGTGACTGCCAGGGAGAGATGTTAATTGCGTACCCTGGCTGGTGGCATTCAGGAATAAAGATGTTGCTTATCCTTGCATTGGACTAATGATGGTCTTTGGAGTAAGACCAGAGTTTGCAGCTGAGCCGCTTATAAACAAGTTTTTGAACTCTGGAGTTTCAGTTTCCACATCTCTGAAGTGGAAGTAATGACACTTTAAATAATTGGTATTAAGAGATTACAAATTTTATACAGACATATAATAGCTGCTCAATAAGTGGTAGTATTTGTGTGTGCATGCACCTATACATGCACTTTGGTTTCATTCTTGCAGTAGCAGAGGCTTTTAGTGCAGTTTCTGGTATTTTTCTGTTGCCACATGTTTTTGCTTAAATGTTTTTTTTGAGACAGTGTCTTGCTCTACTGTCCAGGCTAAGTGCAGTGGCACAATCATGCCTTATTGCAGCCTCAACCTCGTGGGCTCAAGTGATCCTCCCATCTCAGCCTCCCAAGTAGTAGGACCACAGATGTGCACCACCACGCCTGAGTAATTTTTAATTTGTTTGTAGAGATGAGGTCTTGCTTTGTTCCCCAGGCTGGTGTTGAACTCCTGGGCTCAAGCAGTCCTCTTGCCTTGGCCTCCCAAAGCATTGGAATTATTTTGAATTCAAAAATTCTGTGTACTAGGAAAGGGAAACAAAATTGTAAAAATTCTGTGGCAGTTTTGATTGAATTGCCATTTTTTTCTGGTTGTTTTGAGACAGGGTCTCACTCAGTTGCCCAGGCTGGAGTGCAGTGGCATGATCTAGGCTCACTGCAGCCTCCAGCTCCTGAATTCAAGCAATTCTCCTGCCTTAGCCACCCAAGTACCTGGGATTGCAGGCATGCGCCACCACATCTGGCTAATTTTTGTAAATTTTTTTTTTTGAGACAGAGTCTTGCAGTGTCGCCCAGGCTGGAGTGCAGTGGTGTGATCTCTGCTCACTGCAACCTCTGCCTCCCATGTGCAAGCAATTCTACTGCCTCAGCCTCCTGAGTAGCTGGGATTACAGGTGCATGGCACCATGCCCAGCTGATTTTTGTATTTTTAGTAGAGACAAGGTTTCACCATGTTGGCCAGGTTGGTCTCGAACTCCCGCGCTCAAGCGATCCACCCACTTTGGCCTCCCAAAGTGCTGGGATTACAGGCGTGAGCCACCTTCCTCGGCCAAATTTCCTGTTTTTTAAATGTCTTTTTTTCATGGTCTTTTATAAAAATGAAAATATGTAGATTTTAGAACAATTTGACAAGAATAGGTAACAAAAGTACACTGCATGTTTGTAAGTGATATCTTTTCCATCACGTTTTAGACCTAATTTTGGATCTTGAATTTAGAATATATGATGCTGTGAAAAGAATATATGATACCCGTTGTGTATTCATTTGATAAAATAACTTTTGTTCAT